GTGGACATATGTTTTCATTTCTCCTGGGTATATGCCTAGGAATGGAATTATTGGCTCATATGGTAATTCTGTATTTAACTGTTTGAGAAGCTGCCAGGCTCTTTTCCAAAACAGCTGCACCATTTTCATTCCCACCAGCAGTGTATGAGGGTTTCAGTTTCTCCACATCCTCACTAATACTTGTTATTACCTGTCTTTTTGATTATTACCATTCTAGAGGGTGTGAATTGATATCTCATTGTGGTTTTGATTTGCATTTCCCTGATGGCTAATGATGTCGAGCATCGTTTCATGTGCTTATTTGCCATTTCTATATCTTCTTTGAAGAAATGTCTATTCAGATCCTTTGCCCATTTTTAAAATTCTATGATTTGTCTTTTTATTATTTCATTGTAAGAGTTCTTTATATAATTCTAGATACAAGTCCCTTATCAGGTGTATGATTTGCAAATATTTTCTCCCATTCTATGTCTCCTTTTTACTTTCTTGATCGTGTCTTTGAAGCACACAAGTTTTTAATTTTGATGATGTTCAGTTTATCTACTTTTTTTTGTTGTTGATGACATTCAATTTCAAGAGTGCTGATGGAACCACAGCACAATCTTCCATAACTAGCCTCTGCCTACCTCTTTGGCTTCATCCCCAGCTGTCTCCTCCCTCTCCCCCTCTATGCTCACCATTCTGCAGATCAATGTCTGAAGATCTTGGAATGTGCCATCCTTTTTCTCCCCTCTTTGCCCTTGCTATTACTGCTCTGGGCGTGGGCATCCCTTGTTTTCCTCCCTTGTATGCTCAATTCCCCTTTGACCTTGAAGATTACTCAAGTACTCTCTACTATATGAAGCCTTCCCAGACTCTGTTCTACTTAGGGGACTGTCTTAGTTATCTAGTGCTGCTATAACAGAAATACCACAAGTGTGTGGCTTTAACAAACAAATTTATTTTCTCACAGTTTAGGAGGCTAGAAGTCTGAACTCAGGGGGCTGGCTCTAGGGGAAGGCTTTCTATCTCTGCCAGCTCTGAAGGAAAGTCATTGTCTCTTTCCAGCTTCTGTTCCTATGTCCCTTGGTGATCTCCATGTGGCCTGGCATCTATCTCCCCCTCATCTCTGCTTGCTTAATCTGCTCTTTTATATATAAAAAGTGATTGATTTAAGATACACCCTATACTAATACTGCCTCATTAACATAACAAAGAGAACCCATACCCAAATGGGATTATAACCAAAAATATGGGGTTAGGATTTACAACACACATTTTGGGGGACATAATTCAATCCATAACAGGGACCTTCCTCTGAGTCCCCAAAATACCCATCATGGCATTCATTATTCTCTATTGTTCATTCTCTAGTCTCCTCTGTTAGACTGAGAGCTCTTTGAGATCAGTGGCTGCATTTTTTATTTACCTTTCTATCCCCTGTGCATCAGGCACTTAGTGAATGTGTTATGAATGAATGAATGAACTAAAAGCTTTCAGAATTCCAAATATCAGATTTCCCCTTTCAGTTTCCAGTCTTTCTACCTTGTCAAAGATCACTATAGCCTGCCTTGTGTTATGTAAAAACCAATTGCTGTTGATTTAACTCTGACTCATGGAACCCCGTGTGTATCAGAGTAGAATTGTGCTCCACAGGGTTTTCAGTGGCTAATTTTTCAGAAGTAGGTCATCAGGTCTTTCTTTCGGGTCACCTCTGGGTAGACTTGAACCCCCAAACTTTCGGTTAGCAGCTGAGGATGTTAAACCATTTGCACCACCCAGAGATTCCTGTGTTATGGTTACTTGGGTGCTTGTCGTCCTCATTTTCATAGCTCCAATGCTCTTTGAGGGCTGGGATTATGTTTCTGTTTTTCATGTAGCTTCATGATGTTTTTCACCACCTTCGTTTTTCTGGAAGTTTCTAGGACAGTGTCTTACACATAGTTGATGTTTGATAAATCTTGGTTGAATGAGTGAATGAATGAAGCTGCCTGCAAATCTAATTGGTGAGAATCAATCACATAAGGAAAGGATGCATAACGGTCTGGAAAATAAATGGCAGAATTTTCAAACTAAATGCAGTTGACTTGTAATACCTCCTAGCACACGGTTTCCAATTTTTGTCACGTGCAAATAAATACTGCCACATTTTAATTTGAGTAGAGAAATTTAAAAAACAAAACTTTATTCTAAATGAAGAAGCCACTCTGACTACTCCTTAACAACGGAGAGTCAAGCCTGATTCAATCCTTGAATTGATCTTTCCGCCCAAAAGATATATTCAGATACTCTTGAAAATGGCTGACTGGTATATAACATGGAGCCATCGTGGCGCAGTAGTTAAGAACTTGGCTGTTAACCAAAAAAAAGGGTCAGCAGTTCAAATCCACCAGCCGCTGCTTGGAAATCCCATGGGGCAGTTCTACTCTGTCCTATAGGGTCCCTATGAGTTGGAATCGACTCAGTGGCAACGGGTTTGGTTTTTGGTCGGTGTATGACATCATGTATGCTCCTTCTTTTCCCTTTAAAAGAAACAAGAGTTCAAATCCAAGATTTTTTTTTAATAGCATTTTTGTCTATCTAAAATAAAATATAACTTTTCTAAGTGTCCAATGATGGGGAGAAGTGAGGAGAGGGCAAACACTGGGGGGGGGGGGGAATAGACTATCATTATCACCAATACCAAATTCAACTGCTGCAGAAGAACCTCACTCAGAAGGAGTTGAATTAGGAGGGAATTTAGTCCCTTTTTTTCTTACCCAAAAGTAAATTTTATGAAGGCTGATTCTCAATTAGTATCTAATTAAAACAACCTGTAGAGGGCATCCTTGCACTAAGAGCCATAAAGACTTAAGCAGAACTAAGGAAAAAAATCTATTCTGTTGTGAAATTATTATTTTCAACTGGGTGACAATTGGTATTACAGTGTTAAAGTTCTTTAAAGATTGCCTGATGTATCTTAATACATTATATAAATAATTATTCACTGAAAGAAAAATAATGAAATGTTTGAAACAAATATTTTTGCAGTATTTTAAAGGAAGAGTGGCTGTGAAGCTTTGTATGCAAACAGCTTGAAGTATAACTTATTTATCAGTATGGCTAAGAATGGGTTTTAAAATCAGAGTGCCTGGGATTTGAACCCTGCCTCTGCTGCTTACCAGCTGAGTAACCACAATCGTGTTACGAAACCTTTTGGGGCCTTGTTTCCTTATCCGTAAAATGCGAGTAATAATAGTAGCTACTTAAAAGAGGCAGGAGTCCCTGGGTGGCGCAAATGGTTAGGCGCTGAACTATTAGCCAAAAGGTTGATGGTTGGAACTCACCCAGAAGCGCCTTAGAAGACAGGCCTGGGGATCTGCTTCTGGAAGATCACAGCCTTGAAAACTATGGAATGTACTCTGCACCCACAGGTTGCCATGAGTCGGGATCTACTCCATGGTAACTAACAACAACTGAAAAGAGATACTTAAAAGTATTTTAAAAATTAAGATACTACAAATTCAAATCAGTCATAACTACATAGACTAATTCCTTTTAAAGACCAACAGTTGTATAGCTGAAAAGACTTCATAATTAGAAATAGTCTGTTGTCGTTTGGAACTTTTACGACCTACCTAACATTTATTTACCTTAGTGCACATGTCCAGCTTCTCTTCCTGCGCTTCTCTTTGTTTTCCCTTTTGAGGTGTCCAGTACTCTACAAAGGACTGAGACAAACACCATGCCTAACCTCAGACACTCTATCTCTGGGGCATTTGTCTGCAGCATCTGGGTGGTAAAGAACAAAGAAAAGTAAACAAACTTTTTCTTATGCTGCAAACTTCCCAAGTTTTTGAAAAATCTTTTGCTTCCATTTTCTTTGTGCATCCAAGGAATTAGGCAGAAGTGAAGAATAAGTCCTTTCTGTTGGGAGTGGGTGGGTGGGTTACGCTGTAGCCCACTGCCAGCCAAATGCGCTTCCCACAGGCAAGGCCAGGGTCTTGGTCTCAGCCTCAAGCACCCTGCGATTTCAGTACTTGCCAGCGCTTCCAAGTTTCTTGACACACCAGCAAATATGAAGATATTCATGACTTTGGGGGTCCCACCCCAGGGGGTCAGGTACGCCTGTCATCCCAAAACCAAAACATTTGCCATAGAGTCGATTCCAACTCACAGAGACCTTATAGGACAGAGTAGAACTACACCATAGGGTTTCCCAGGAGTGGCTGGTGGATTCAAACTGCCTACCTTTTGGTTAGCAGCCTAAGAGCCCCGACAACTTTCTAGGCGCTGCGGGCTCAGCAGGGACAGCGTCCTCCAGCGCGCACCGCAGATGCAGAATAAATGCCCTGCACCCCTGCCAAGCGGAGCACCTGCAATCAGGGCACCACTGGACAGTTCAGTCTCATGTTTTAACTGAGTAGGAATGCACAAAGTGTCAGCATTGGAGCGAGGAGCAGAGAGGGTAGGGTTTGCAGAGAGTGAGAGGTATGATACTGGCATAAAGGGCGAAGAGGCAGAAAATGCGCATTCAATTAGCACCGAGGTCGAAAGGGTAGTTAATCATATCATCATCATCATCGTTAGCGCACAATCGAGCCCCGGTTTTTCAGTTCACCCCATTTTCTCCTTCCACTCATCTCCTGGCTGGAGGCAGGGGGCGTCGCAGGAGTCCCTTTGAGCATCGTCTGCTTGCCCGCACCCCTCCACGTGCCCCCTTCGCGCGCCCTTTCATCCCAAGCGGCGAGGCCTCCGGGGGTCGCCGCACGGCCCCGCCCCGGCGCGGCCCCACAGCGCCCCCCAGTGGTGCCCGGCTTGGCTCGCGAGTCCCACTCCTCGCTCGCGCGGGCCCTTCCGGCTCTTCCTCTCCCGCTGTATTTAACCCTCACGGTTCGTGCTAGCATCTCCTGCTCCGCCTCGCTTTCCCGTTTGCCAGTCTTCTGCCTCTGCCTCCTCTTCTCCCTCCAGCGCCCCCACCTCTCGCCCAGTTCATCCCTCCCCCCCACCCCCTTCCCGGGCTCTCCCGGGCTCACTTGTGAGCCGGGAGGCTACACGCCCAGCAGTCTAAGCGGGAGCCGCTCAAGCGGCAGGAGCTGTAGACGAGCAGAGAACGTAACGGCCGCAGGTTGAATAGGTACAGCAGAAAAAGTTACAGAATCTAGCGCCACCAGCGAGGAGGTCCCAAGCAGCATGGCCCGGAGAAGCGCTTTCCCCGCCGCTGCGCTCCGCGTCTGGAGCATCTTCCCGTGCCTGCTGATGCTGCGGGCGGAAGCCGGGCAGCCACGGGAGGAGAGCCTGTACCTGTGGATCGATGCTCACCAGGCGAGAGTGCTCATAGGTAAGGCTCCCGCCCCCAGCGCCGGACCCTGCTGTGCCTTCACTCTCTCCGCTCGCTCTTCTGTTAAAAGAGGGATGCGTGATATGTTTTCAAAACATAGTTTCAAAGAAAATTGCTCCCCCTTTTTAATACTTTTTTTTGTAATCTGAAAGCTTGTAAACTTGTCTCTCAAGAAAGCAAAGTTGAGCTGGCGTTCTGATTATGCTGTTTCTAGTTTTTACAGCCTACGTTTTTAGGTGGTTCCAGCGTTTGTTTGCATCAGTTAGCTCCATGTGTCTGTCAGCATCATTCTTACCACATGCAGAGGAAAATCAATCTCAGTAGCTTGGTGGATGCCAAAGGCAGGTGTTTTGTGCAAAAAATGGCCCATACTGATTCTTTGGTTTTCTTTTTGCAACTTCTGATTTGGATTTTCTCAAGTCCACCCAGTCTGATAGTTTGTTTCTTAAAAACAGGATTTGAAGAGGATATCCTGATTGTTTCAGAGGGGAAAATGGCCCCCTTTACACATGATTTCAGAAAAGCACAACAGAGAATGCCAGCTATTCCTGTCAATATCCATTCCATGAATTTCACCTGGCAAGCTGCAGGGCAGGTAAGTGCTGATAGGCAAAAAAGGTGGAGAAAATTACCCTTTGATATTTCCACTGCCTGCTGAAAGGTAGAAGTAATATCGTATACTGTTTAGTCTGGTATATTTTTCAATTCTTAAGAGTAATTTTTCATCTGATCTCCAAAACAAATAATGAATTAATTCCCATTTATTTAGAGTTGTCACATAAGTTAAAGATTTCAAAAGGGCAAGCAATGTGTCTAAGCTCACTATTTTGATAAGGCTCAGTGTCTTCAGGCTGCTGGGATTATAAAGAACTCAAAGACCAACGTTTCTGGTTACTGTGATCACTGACATTAAAATTTAACATAATATTTTAAAGGTTCTTTTCCATAGTATGTGCTAATCAGTTGTAACATTATTTATACTTTACAACAAATTTTAAAGTATATAAATATTTTTGACATTGTATAAAAAAATCGGTATATTGAAAGTTATTCACTAGAACATAAACGCTATGTATTTCCGGTAGAAGTTCACAGGCTCAAAGAGTGTCATGTAAGAAAGTTCGTAAAATATTTCAAGCTATGGATTTTTTTTTAAGTTACTAGTTTAAATATTTTCATATGGGAAAAGAAAGCTACAATTCATTTCTGTGAAGAAGTGTTTCTATTGTTCCTTAGTACATTAACATCTTTTGTATGCTACATTTTATATATTTTCAGTATAACATAACCTCTGGTTTTGGAAAGAGAGGGAGAATAAAATTCTTATGTGAGTTTAATTTCTTTTGTGCAATTGAAAAATTTACTCTAGAGGACAACTGGTAAGTCATGAATTATTTTGCTCATTAGTTGGTAAAATGTGCTTACTAAGAAAATCATTGCAATTAAAATCACATTTGCAGGTCTTTTTATGTGAAAATTATTTAAATGGATAAATTCATAAAGAATGTGATTCAGAAAACACTTTATAAAAAGTAACTGTTTTGACTTGAGAAATGACTTTGGTACCCTCTCATTACCTGTTATGGAGCCTTGGTGGCACAGTGGTTAAGAGCTATGGCTGTTAACCAAAAGGTTGGCGGTTTGAATCCACTAGCTGCTCCTTGAAAACCCCCTGGGGCAATTCTACCCTGTCCTATGAGTGGGAATTGACTGGACGGCAATGGGTAATTACCTGTTTTTGAATGGTCCTGACCATTTTAGGTCTGTCTTATTTTCCTTGGATCTGTTCTCTTTTTTTCTTCTATAATAGATCAAGTATGGACACCAAAGGGTTTGGTTTTTGGTATAGACCCTTCACATTTCCATTGTTTTGTCATACAAGATAAACATTTTAAATTCGCTAAGGTCATGACAGGAATGTCATCTATTCTAATGCCCCCATTTTGCAGACAAGTTCACTGAGGCTTCTACTGCTTATAGTGTGATTATTTCTTTCCTTCCTAACCTGCTCTTCATAGCTATTTTATGGAAAATCAATTTTGGAATATTGTGAAATCAGTAATAAATCAATGAATATCCTTTTATCATCTTTTCTTTTCACCTGAATCTGTTTACTTGTGGATGACCACTTGTCAGAATGGTCTCAATGTTAATTCTATATTTTCAAAAAGAACAATTTGACCTATACTTTTATGGATCCATAAGAACCGTTAGAGGTAGCCTGAGTTGTACACCTCTAGCTGAAAGAGTATGGTGACTGTAGAGGCAGAAAATGTCAACATCTGTAATGTTTTTTGCATATCAGTTCGTCTTCCAAAGAATGGAATTTGAAGCAAAAGCTTAAGTTCCATTTTATCTCCCCTGTCGCTTTGTAGCTTAGTGCTTGTTGGCAAACATTGGCATATTGTTGAGTACAAAATGGACTGGCATATCAAACAATCTCAGGACTGTTTCTTGTAGGACGTTAGGGAAGATTGTGGAACTGGCAGGGAGATGAAGCCTCTAGCATCTTTTCCTCTCCTGCTTTGGTACTGGTTACTCATGTGGATTATCTTATTCTGCAGGGGAATGTTAGCACCTCAATTAAGTTACCTTCCTCTCTCTGCTCTGTCTGCCCTGGAGACATTTCCACAGGTAGCTACATGAAATCTGGTGTCTTTTTTGGGGCGGGGTTGGTTGGGGT